AACAAGTAGATGTGGTGGGGGGGGGGGGGGGGCAAAAAAAAAATCAATGGTGTTTCACATTGCAGTGTCAGTGCACTGTGAAAGAGGAGCCATTATGGTATCTGGCAGAAAACATTTCCAAGCTGTCAATGGAGACAGCCAAACCTTATCAGGAATTGAAGGGCTCTGAGTAGGTCTGCCCAGGAAATGGAAAACAATTCTAGGAAGAATCAGCCAGATGAAACGTGATCTGCAACAACCTTTTTACACACTTTTCATTTCAGTTGTATCTACTTACTTTTCTTGTACTGTCTGGGGAGTGGGGAGGACACAGGATAGTTCTAATTCAGTCAAGACAAACAAATGTGAAAATGGGAGTTTAAGCTGTTGCAAAGCAGTGTAACGAGATCAGACAGGCCAAGAAGAAAGATACTATAAAGCCAAAATCAAGTTTGGCTTAAGCTTAACCAAAGTATCCATACCATTTCCCTCTTAAAAAACAGAAAGGGAAAGGAGCAGTCAGACAGAATCACAGGGTTCTCAGAGGCATTACTGAGGAACAAAAATAAAGCAGAATGGCAATAATGCTGGCAGCAATGTGTTGTCAGACTTAGTCACCATTGAGAAACAAGTGCTATTTTCCCTCCCTCCCTTTTTCTGTAACCCTTAATCATTATGCACTGCTGTGTTAGGAAAACTGTTATTTTTAAACCTCAACCTGTTAAATTTCATGGTTTCTTCATTTTCTCATTAGCAACTAAATTGGACATCACATTATCCAGTACCACTGATCTACTTACATACTAATATCACATAAAGCTACACCTGTCATAAGACTTACCCCATTGGCTCTGCTAGCAGCTTGGAAATAAATGCTGTAGCTTTTATGAGGGAGAAGAGGAGTGTTCCAGAAACCACTATAGGTTTTGTTATCACCAATAGTAAAAGGCTGAGCAGCTTGAAGACCGTTGGCTGGAAATTCTGCAGCAAAGTAGTACTGAGAGTTCAGAAGTGACGCATTCTGGAAATGAATGGGTACTGGGTAGCATTTCAGGATTTCTGTGGTCTTCTTTGTCCTTCGAGGGCGCTCTTCTTCAACCACTACTTGATAGACACTAAGTGTTTTGAAAGGAAAAAAATGAGAGAAACATCTGGGTTATTATAAGACAGCTGAGCCAGCAAATTCACTTTGAAATTTTAACAGCATACCACCAGGTATTTATGGAAAGGGAAATCACAACTGAAAGCAAAGGACAAAGTAAAGAAATATAGGGTGCATTTATACATCTAATTAGCTCCTCAGTAAAGCATTACCATCTACATGGATATCTGTATTAGGGCACAGTAAATTAATTAACTCAGCTGTAGGATAGTACTGTCTGGGAAAAGTACTATGCTATAGCAGAGTAGTTACATGCGCTGAAACACATGTATAGAAGGTGACCAGGGCTGCGTGGGACATCAGAGTGCTACAGTGTGGGGCTAGCCTTGAGCTTGGGTGGAGCAGCCCCGGGCTGGCAGGCTGACCCACCGGGCTCTCTGCTAGCCTGGGTCTGTTCTGCCCCGGCTCAATGTTCTGTGGTCCCAGCTGCACATGTAAACTGAGCCTGAGAGAAAAACCCTGGTGCGAATCATGCCTGAATCTATTGCTACATGCTAACTGCATGTGTAGATGCACCCACAGGCTCCGTCCAGATGAGCACATACCACACATTCAGCTGTTCTCCATGCTGCAAGGGGGATTGCCAGGGATCAAAAATCCTATGCAAAAAAAAAAGCTGAGTGGTGCACGCAGGGGCTGTGCACGCCGCTCAAAACCAGAGCCTGGGCGGCTGGCAGGAGCACCATTGCCGCAGCCTCAGGAGGCCCCCAAGACCCCAGGTAAGGCTGCCGTGGCCAGCCTCCCCTACCCCACCTGGGGTAACCTGCCATGCACCAGAGGGTGCATGACACAGATGCTCTGTGGGGACTACTAGCGGTGCTACAAGGCGTGCTGCCACTAGTTGTCCCTGGGAAACCAAACGTCCATGCTCCTGTGGACACGGCCACAGTGTTAATACTCAAGGTTTAGGAATTTATACTAAATGTTCCTATTCTTTTCCAAATGACTCATTTCCCTTTTGTAAAATAATAGAGGCCATAAATATCTGAGTTTTTTATGTGAGAAATAATGTAGAGTACTTTCTTTGAACACTCTACATAAAAATGCATACTGGTACTAAAATGTTGAATGAACTATTAGTCTGTTTATAAAAAGTAGTTATAAAGCTATAGTTTCAGCCCCTTCACCTGAATAAAACTATATGCGTATAAAGATATAAATAGAAGAAACAGGAAACACACAGAAAAAAATCAGTCAGTTGTTTGGCTGACTGTTGACATTATAATTCTTTATGAAATTATACATACGATAAGTCACAAAGTCCATTTGAAATCTTGGTTGCAGATTAGCCTTTAAAGAGCATAAACAGTACACGTTCTGATGGCTAAAAATACAGAAGGTATGACCTGGATTCAGCAAAACACTTAACATAACCATTTGTTTAAATTGTTCTGTGTTCTGCAAAGCAACTAAATACATGTCTATGTCTTCAGTGAATTGAGGCCTACAGGAAATAGTCCATCTTCCTCAATGTTAAAAGCAGGAACAAAGCAAGCATGATTTCTGCTGATAGCTGCAAATAAAATCATAACTTTCTTGTAAGCAGGACAGCAATCTAAGATTCCAGAAAGGGAGTCAGTAAGGGTAACTGAAGTAGCACTAGATTTTTGTGTCCAAATTTTCTTGTCTGCTCTCTCTCTATTATATTTCAAACATATAATTACCACAAAGCAACAATATTTTGGGACTGGGAGAGGCAGTATAGTATCTCTCTTCCAAAGGGAGATATTGGATATGTTTTTAAATTGGCATAGAATGAAATTATTTTGGACTAATTACTGTTATTTGTTGTTTATTTTGTATGACTAGAGCTTGGACTTCTAGACATGGACCAACACTTGCTGTCTGGGCACTCTACAAGTTCAGAACAAAAACAGGGTCTCTGGTACAAGAATGAGGCTATTAACTATTTTACATGTCCTGAACACATGCACAGTGGACTATCAAAGGACTAATTTTTGGCTGGTCATTAGGGATCAGATGTTAAAAATAACATTGTTCTGCTTACAACCCAAGTTCTTCCCTGTCTTCATTTCTGATGCAATTTTAACTTCTGATATGGCATGAATGTTTGGAGCTAAATTTACTTTATATGTTACCTTATATTACTTGGAATTATAATTCCAAGCTACTTTGAGTAAAATTTGGCTTCTTAGCACGAGTGATTCATAACATATTAGCTATTAAAACTATTTCAATACTGAAACAGAAGAGGAAAAGAGAATAAGAATAGCCTCTCATTTTGATATTCGGCAGGCTGCTAGTGCTAGATATGCTCTATGCCTTATCAAAAGGTAGGGATCCATGGTTTTGAATGATGTATAATAATTGATGGATGGCTAAGTTTCTCATCCTTCAATATAGCAATACTATTTTTGCCTTGGTTTAACATTGAATCTAGCAAATCTTAGGTACTGGGCTAAGGTAAGTTTCATTAACAGAGTGGCAACTACAGTGAATATTCTTTTCATTTTCCACATAGCAGTTAAAGAAGAAAATGGTATATGTTTTACAGCGAAATAGTCATAAAATGTAACTCTTCTCTGGCAAGTTTGTACTACTTAAGCTATGTGCACTACTCCATGTATATTCCATATTACATGCCTTCCATCTATTCATCTTTAGATACATTAAAGAAAGAACTAAGTTGACTGGAGGAATTTCAATCTCAAAACATCTTTTCATCCTTGCTCCATAAGACAAATTAGATTTGCAAGCATCCAGACCTCAGATCTATTTGCTCTTTAATAATTTAAGTACTGAAAGGTCAAGCAGCTCTTTTCTGTTCCCCTTTATCAAAGTCCAAGTGCTAATGAAAAATAACTAAAACCGGGCTGCAGCCCAGTTTTCTCATAGTGCTGTCTCTTTCAAGTAAATTAACACATTTATGAGTACGTGGGTCAACTGACACCTGATAGAACTTTGTGAGTGATATATTTTAATTTTACATTTGTATAAATGAGTTCATCTTGATAATTAACATTATAAGATCACTCCAATTACAATTCAAAACCTTTCTCTGTATCTTACTGTTAAAAATGTCTTTCTTTTATTACGTAACAACTGAATTGCCAATACTGAAAAGGATTCAAGTTTAGTGGATTGAACAAGCACTGAATCAGAACTCTATTATTCCTTTAATGTATTAGTCATATTTCCCACTTGTTTAAAGTTGCAGTCTTCCTTTTCCATAGTTCTGCATTTCAACTACACTAAAGGCCACCTACCTGTAATACAAAAAATAAAACCCACATTAATATAGAGTGTGCCAAAAATATAGTAGATATTGAACTTTCTTGAGAAAAGAAATGTAAGTTAAAGTGTCATTTATGCCTGGCTTTTCTACTATAAGATTCGATGTTGTTGGAAGTAGAATATAAAATCTGCTATAAAATCAGAGAAGAATATTTTAGTATTTTGTTTAACTTGGGGATTCAACTGTTTCAAGTTTTAAAAAAGGGAGAAAAAAACTGTTGCAACTTTGCTTTTTATTTTACCACCCAACACTTAACTGAACTTAAACAGTTATGGAACAATGAGGACATTTGGACATAAACTGGAATAAAACCTTCACTGGTCCTATCATTTTAGTTTACAAGTTATTCATACTAGGCTTCTTATAAATGTGTTGATTCTAGATTGTTTAAACTACTGGGGGCACCTCATACTTCTAAATATCTATCTGTCTGAAGAGAGTAGATGTAAAATATAAGAGAAAGCAATTAAACAAGTCAGTTTATAGTAATGATTATATTTAGATAAATTAACATATAATGTTGGGCTCCGCTTTAATAAGATACTTACACATATGCCTAATTTTAAGGAGTTAGGGCCTTAAAGGTTAGAAAACTGTGATTAATCAAATGACAATTAATCAAGACATTTTAAAACAACCAATAGATTCTGTGTCATTCTATTCAGGGGGATGAATTTTGGTACTAGTGGGCATGTCTACATAAGACATTTACTGCACTAATTAGACTAATTAGCTGTGCAGTAAATGTTGTGCATCTACATATGTGCCCCTATTAGTCTGGTGTAAACTAATTTACTCTGTAGCAAGATAGTACTTCTATTAATAAACAATAATCAATATTATTTACAAGTATTTGCAGAGTTTTTTACAACACAGCAGCGCAAGTGTAAATACTGCGCCTCAGCTGGCTAGGGCATGAGGGTGTGCGAAAAAAACATATCAGGAGAGCCGGGAAGGCGGCGGGATGCCGTGCCCGAAGCTGATCACAGTAAAAGTGAAACCGCGGCAGCTCCGGGAAAAGATCAAAAGCAACAGCTGAGCTGGGAGGAGCTGAAAATGGCTCCTGCATCCCCATGGACATGCTTTATAAAAGCATGCTGGGGCCGACTGGTCAGCCGGATGCCTGGAGCCAGGATAAAAGACCCGGCGGAAGATGAGCCTGGGGGACCGGAAGCGGAGTCCCCAACCGGCCCGAAGGAGCCAGAGCTTTAGAGCAGTCCTGGCGAGGGGACTTGGTGGGCACCCCAAAAAGGGGTCACAGTGAGAGCACAGGGCCAGAGAGGGCCCAAGGATCTGTTCACAGGGTTGTTGTGGACCGCGGAAACCGACAACGATGACTGGATTACAGCTGGACCCAGCGGGGTCAGGATATCGACGCAACAGATGCATGTCAAGTACCAAACCTGGGAAAGAGCTGACGTGCTGGGGGACGGAACGGTGCCAAGACGGGATGCCATGTAAGCATAGAGAAGGGAGGGGCCGTAGGAGATGCTCGGCATAGAAGTATCACTATTAGACTGCAGCCGAAGATCCCAAGGGACTGAGTACCGAGAAGATTCAGAACATCAACCTCGACGACACAGGTGACAACATCAAGGTTGGTGTTAGGTGGAGTGTAGGGGAGGCGGAGCCCAACAAAGAAGGAACAGTGGGAATGACTATGGGAAGGTGCCAGGGGAGGTGAGACCAAACATCGTCCTCCTGATCCAAACATAACCATCATCAAAGATGTGGCAGGAGAGGCCCCTGTGGAACCGACTCAAAATCACCCCAATAACCAGGCTGTTCAGCCCAAGTCACCACGGCGAGGCTCAAGAAGAACCCACACTCGAGATGCTCAGGGGAAAGACATGGGAGATTACAGGGTGCTTCAGTGCAGGGGCTGCCTGCTGATTAGCCCCAAGCTGAAGCACCCTCTTGCTCCAGACAGCCCCTCTGCAGCACATTAAGCCAGGGCATGTGAAGATTCAGCACCCAGAAGCAATAAACTTCAGAGTTTATTCATGTGCATTAGTTGCACGTGTTGACATGCCCCGTACATGGGTAACTGGTGCCACCACATGCTCCCCCAGCGAGCGGAGGGGGGGGCCCCCCCGCAGCAAATCTCAT